AGATTGTCCAGTCTTCAGCTCTCCCAAGTGGCAGATTAAGGCTGGAGCTGGGGGACACATCCACAGCAGAGGACAAAAGCCATCTCCAGCACAGGCGTTCAAAGCTGTTTTGCTGCTGCTGGACCACGATCCAGCTAAGTGCGATACCTTACAGAAAGGGGATTCATTCTGTACTGTGACTTTGGTGAGGGAGGAAGGTGTCTCAAAGTAGCAGATGCTGCTCTTGGATGAAGAATTAAGGACAGAAAAGGGTTCGTTTCACTCTGTCTTGGAGAAAGAATTTGGAGTTGACCACTGTGTGTTTATCACCAAAGGACGTTGCATCCTTGTGTGCACCAGTTCTGCCACAGCTGATCCAGCTTTGGGGAGCAGTAGTGGCAGAGACACAGCCAATCACACTGGAAATCCAGAGGGTGTTCCAGAAACAGGTGACTTCCCATGGTCCAGGAGTGGTATTTATATGACTATTCACCTGTCTTAAGAAAATGCTCCAGACCTCTGAATCCACTGACCACAGACCTCTTCTGGCTTTTCCAGAAAGTTCGCCAGTTGCACAAACAACATTTTTTTCAGTCCACTGACCGCTTTTTAAAACCAAGTCCTTCTATTTGTTATTCTTGGTTGTTTTTCTTTTCTCTTTATCTACCCTCAGCAACACTACCTTCAGGTCTGTTTTCCTTGCCTACAATTTTTGATCCACTTGTAACTTTTTTTAAAAAAAATATTTTGTTATAAACTTCAAGGCAGAGTTTTCAAATAGTTTTCAATTTGTAGCCTGAAGACTTAGGGGGGCACATTTCCTGTCTCTCTACTCAGTATGCTAAAATATGGAAATTATGAAATTTTAAGGCAGTCTCTGCATTTTTCACAAACTCTGATTATTTTCAACCAAAAAAAAAAAAAAAAGGAAAAAAAAACCAGAGAGAAAGAGTTTTTCTCAGCATGTTTTTAAAAGCTTGATAAAGGTTCTCAGGATAATCATTGCTGAACTGCAAATATTGTGTTACCTTACAGAAGTTTCCTCTCACCCGCCTTTCCTGCTTGAGCTCTTGTTGGTCATTAACTGCCCGTGATGAAGTCTCTTCTATTATCCGAACTACAGATCTGTCCTCACTAGACAAGAGCCAGCTATGCTGGCAGATGAGTTTATTTTGGATGAGGTATTCTCTATTCTTACAGTTTTACCTAATGGAAATGTGTAGCATGTAGTAATCCAATTGCCAAAAAAAAAAAACAAAGATAGAAGATGATGTAAGGAAAAAATATTTAAATTTTTAGAACAACAAACACACTGCATATTCCTCTGTCGTCTTTTCCAGTTCTCAAAGTTTTCACCTTGGCACAAACACCACTACTAAAATATACGGGAAGGTAAGTGTCTTAAAAGGATTCAGTAATCTAAATACCTCTCTGCATGTTGTCCAGAATGTCTCATTCAAACCCAGGCAAAATAAGTAAAATTATTTCCATTGACTTCAGCAAAGTTTGGATCAAGAGCAATCCCGTCTAGTGGGAGGTGTCCCTGCCCATGGCAGGGGGTTGGAATTCAATGATCTTTAAGGTCCCTTCCAACCCAAACCAGTCTGTGATTGTGTGATTCTATATGTGACTGTTTTGTTTGTCTTTGTATAAAACAGACCTTAATACTGAACATGTTAGATGACTGTCCTGCTTTTTCATTCTCCCTTCCTTCTCCTCAGCCTTGCACCTTCCATGGATGGTTTTTTTGCTTCATTTGCTGGTGTTTCCCTTCTTCCCTTTGGGCAAGGAGAAAGGCACAGACTCATCACACATCATTTTGGGTACTTAACAGAGAGGTTCCCAAGCCTGAAGCCCATGCCAAAGAAGAGCTGGCTGTCTCTGGTGGACAATTCAGTGTATCCAAAGGCTGAAATACCTCTCTTTGTCTCTCCTTCTCTGTGAACTAGAGAGGAACCTACGGAAGTGGGTTCCTCACTTGGCCCCTCAGTGCAAGACCTACAGCTGGGCAGGGTAAATCGAAGTTCAGGCATGCAGTCCCACCCACTATCTACTTCAGCCTTTAGATCCATTGAATTGTGCCACTTTTTGTCCTTCCTCTGTGAACAAGAGAGGAACCTGGGTTCCTCAATTGGCCCATCAGTGCAAGACCCACAGCTGGGCAGAATAAATCTAAATTCAGGCATCCAACACCGGATAGCCACTGACTCCGTTAAACTGCTCCCATCACATTTTTCCTGTAAAAAAAACAGCCCTTTGAGAGCACGAGAGGGTCAGAACAGAGGACACAGTCATGCACATCCAAGCTTTCTTCCCAACCTTGTCAAACAAGCAGCACTCCCTTTCTTTCTATTCTTTTTTTTTCAATAGTGAATCTACACCTCGTTTTCCACAGGAAGGGCAAGAAGACAAAGCACCTGGCAGGGATGCCAGCTCTGTCTCTCCCTTCCTTGTCCTCAGGTTAAAAAGCATGACATAAAAGCAAATCTCTGTGGTTTCTCCTTATCATCTATTTGCCGAAGGAGGCAGCGTGCTCTTGGTGCTGGGCTGTGGTTTCAGGATATGTCCCGTTGTGATCAGCTTTGCACAAAGACAGCTCTGCTGTTCTCCCCTGTGTTTTGCTCAGACCCAACTCCCCTCTCAACCCTCTGCTCCCCAGACAGTCCCAGCTTGTCAGTGGGAAATGAATGGATTTATTTTCCTCTCTAGTTCTTTCTTGCAAGGGAGAACAGCTGCTGCCCTCCCCATCCCCTGGGAGGTCACCCCACCGCTCCTCTAGCCAGAACACTTATAACTGGATGTGAAAGAGAGAGTAAAAAATTAAATTCTGAGTATTTGACAATGACAAGCACTGAGACCAGGGCTTTTCACAGTGTTCAGGAACCACTTTATCCAATAATTCATGCACAGAAAGTGTTATCAGATTTGCAAAATAGGCATGATAGACACTTATGCTATCTGGTTTTGCCTAAAATGTATTTGAATGCCTTGGAATCCATCTGATTGTATTCCAGAGTTGTTCCTGGGTGGGGGACAGGGGGAACAAGGCTTCCACCCTAACATGCAATTTTTGGGATTCATGAAGTAGTCTCTCCAGGAAAGAAAGATTTTTCCTGATCTTTCCTGATCTTTTCTGTCTGGCTCTTCTCTTCCAAGATGCCCTCATGCAGAGCTCTGAATAATATCTTTCCAGCTCGGAGAGTTACTGACTGAGGAGCAAGAAAAGTTTGGGGTGATTATCTACACCCCCTTTACAAATGGAATGTTTCAGGGCTTTTAGATGGAGGAAGGAGCCAAGCCATCAGCATTTTGTGGTAAGCAAAAGGGGAAGACCTGATGCAAGTGCTACTAAAACCAGACCTCCCGTGTTTAACGGCAGTTGGACCTCTCAAGGAAACCACTTGGGTGGATACCCTGTCCCATGTGGTTGAGCAGTTCCCTCTGCCAGTGGTTTCAGAGGAAAAAATCACATATCACACACACAGCCAGAGCCTTCTGGAGTTAATAAAATGACTCGCTCTTCTTCCCCAAAATGCATTGTATTAACCCATCAAAATTTCTGAAGCGGTGGCAGGGTGGAATACTTGCGGGCACAGGGCTCAAGGGAGGTAAGTGGTCAATCCGCAGGGTAATGAGAGTAGATGACACTAAGCTGTCAGGAGTCACCTTCTTAATATCAAATTTTATTATGTTTTCAAAAACTGCCTCATTTTTTGAATTAACTGTAATGCCACAGCATGCAAAAAACCTTATTTATTAATTTAAATTTTTTTTGATCCTTTCATCCTCTTTTGCCTAAATGAAGAGAGACTGTATTTGTGGATTTATGTCCCAAATATCCCTGCAGCTTGAAATGGGCATAAGATTTCAAACAATCTCAAGTTTCAGACTGCAGTCAGGAATATTCTGCAAGAAAGGGGCCATAGAAGAGATGTGAACAGAATCTGGTGAAATTGTGGTCTAGTGGGAGGTGTCCCTGCCCATGGCAGGGGGTTGGAACTCGATGATCTTTAAGGTCCCTGACAACCCAAACCACTCTGTGACTCTGTGAAATAAGTGGTTAGAAGGGAATTTCTATTTGCAATACTCTGTGTACTGCTGTGGCTGTGGGACTGCCTCTAGCAGTGGGATGATTTCACCTTTCAAATTTTATCTATCCTTTTTGCTTCTGTTATGGCACAGTAACACAGCAACACGACAATGTTTTGAGGAGGAGGACTTGTGGCCAGGCAGTTTTTATGCAGCATGATGGTCAATAGCTGTGAGCACCTGTCTGGGAGGGGGCTGAAACCCGCACCCCTGTTAAATGTAGCTGCCTCACACCTTTCTCCAGTCTACACCTGAGAATTCAGATTTTTTCCTATTTTTTTTCACAGCAAAAGGAGGAACACACTGAAAGCGCAGCTGGGATTCTGTGTCAGGCAGGATCTGAGCACTCTGCCTAATGCAACAGGTAATGCTTTACCACAAGATAGAGTTTCTCTTGCTACACATCTAAATCACTATTCCCATACATTTCCACTGCTGGCATCACCAGGTTACACAAATAATTAGTTAGATGTTGAACCACAGTCGTAGGAGCAAAACCAACGTTGGTATATGCACATTAATCAGCATGTTACCTGAGACCTTCAGAACTACAAAAGGGGCTCAGACATGCAACATCCAGTGATTTTAATGTTAATCTGGTGTCAAAAGGCATATTTCAGACACTTGGATGTACAGAACTGAACATAAGCAAAACTGATCACGACCACAATGTCCTAAGGCTCTGTAAAGGGAGCAGGGAGGAAGGACTGTCCCTGTGACATAGAGCCACCCTGGGATCAGTCAGGACTGGATCCCCTGCTACAAGAAGCAATTGGCTCCCTGAGGTTGTCACCACCATCACCACCACCATCACCACCACCATCACCACCACCACCACCCCCCATGCACACATCGTTAGCAGACCACAGGTGTTACATTTCTATCCAAAAAAAAAAAAAAAAATGAAGGAGGAATTAAAAGTTTCTACTTACGGTGTTGAGCCCCAGGAGGTTGTTTGGGAGAGAGGAGGTGACTCCGGACAGAATAGCTGTGGCCACCACGGCCCCCAGGCACTGGGCGATGATGTACATGAGCGCCTTGAAGATGCTGATCTGGCAGCTCAGCAGGAGGCCCAGGGTGACGGCCGGGTTCAGGTGCGCACCGCTGATGTGGCCCACGCTTTGTGCCATGGTAGCGATGGATAACCCAAAAGCCAGCGAAACCTTCACGTTGTCCTGAGACCTTGTTGACGTTTTGTTGCCCACCACCGGGAAGCTAAAGCCCAAAGCCGAGCCAATGCTGATAAAAATAAAAAGGCTCATGGCAAGGAACTCAGCCACCACTGCCCTCCAGAACATTTTCTTTTTGAATTCACTAGCCATCTTTCCTCTCTCTCTTTCTCTCTCCCCTCCTCACGTTCCCTTCTCCCTCTCTCCCTTCTCTTCCCTGATATTTTTCCTTTGAGGTCTGAAGAGAAATCTGGAGAAAAAATGCAGCCCTTGGATTATTTATAGGGCTTTGGGTGGTCTGTAGGAGGGAAGGGGTGTTGCACAAAAGGAGGAAAGAACGTCTACATAGATGCTGACTGCTAGATTGATGTAAGACACTGCATGCCTGCCAAAGTTTTTTCTTCCTTTTTTTTTTTTTTTTTTTTTCTTTCCCCCTCACTTTGCAGCATTCGATCTCTGCTGCTGCTTTTAAGAGGCTTTTTAAAATCCTTTGAAAAGTCTTTAGGAGTGCCTGTGGAATTTTACTCTCACTTCTTTACCTCCTGTATCATCATTCAGCACACGGATGGGAGTGAAAGCTTTTAGGGGATTTCTGTCCTGAGCCGGACTGAAACAAAAAACCAAAGTTATCTGGTGCAGGCTGGTGAGTTACTGACACTCAGCTGCACCAGCGGCGGATGACATCCGAAAGTAGTAAATAAAACTGACAACTAAATGCCCGCTCTGGAGATGTAAGTACCTCTGTTTCACTGGAAAACAGGTAGAAATGTCTCTTCTGCCGGCTCTGTGGAGACTTGAACTTGTTTCCTGACGGCTGTATGGACAAACACACGTATTTACACAGGCTCACACGAGCCGGTGTTAACTGATGGATGGGGGTGATCACTTTTAACCTCTGTCACCACTGTATAAATCTGCCATAATACTGTGTGTAAGCTGGAAGCTTTATGTGGATTCAACTTGGATGCTAAGATGATTTGGGGCTGTTTGTTTGGGGTGGTTTTTAATTTTTTTTTTTAAATTTACTTAATTTCTTCACTTTTTTTCTTTGAAGCACAAAAGCATCTCAACATTTCCCCAGGCTTTCTCTCCCACACTCCTTCTGACCGGCAGGAAAAAAGCCAATTTGAGGGTTTCCTAGCCCATGTCCTGCAGCGAAAGCGTATCTCACGCTGCTCCGCCGAAGGTCGCCTGTCCTGGCTGTCACCAGGGAGACTGGCTGCTGCCATCGAGCCGCGGCGCTGGCCAGAGACAGAGACAGACGGGGAGAGCGACGGAGAAGGGAAATTACATACTTGATTTTGCAGACAAAATGAATGTCCTGGCAGTGCCAGAGCGTCTCTTCGGAGCAAAAGGTCTAAGTGCCTCCGGTTTTATCGCAGCAGAACTCCATGCCTCAGACTAACCCCTGTGTTATCAGATCTCTGCCTGCTTTAGCAGCTGGTGGTACCTCTGTCTTTAAATCAGGGGGTTTGCTCTGACTTCAAACTATGCAAAAGCTGATCCAGAGGCAGAAACACACTCCCCAGGCACAAGATGTGTATTTAAAA